TTGTACCCTGATCTATAGGACCTGTGAGGAAAAATTACTTATTTCGAAAAAAAATAAAAAAGAGAGAGCAATATGAAAAATCTAGAAACGAAGAGTACACATAGAGGGTGTGAGACATCATTCTCATTATTGAAAATCATGCATAGAAAAATACTTACTGCAAAATAAGTGGATAAAGTGAAAGCCCTGAAAATGAAGTGTACACATAGAGGGTGTGAGACATCATTCTTATTGTCAAAATTTTTCTACGAAAAAAGCTACTTATCCACTATATATATAAAAAGAAAGAGAAGGAAGAAATATAGTACAAACTTCAAAAATAAAGCCATGAAAAAAAGGAAATATAAGATCAATATATATTCTTGGATGAGTATTAATAATTAGAACATCTTGTAAATATATCTATGAGTGAAGAAGTGATAAAGATGTGAATAGAAGAAGTGAAGTCTAGATTGTTATTCGAAGAAATGCTTAAACATTTAAGTGCTTGACATCATTCTTAAATACTTGATATAAGAATCTAAAGTGTCTAAAGGTGCATCATTTCTGATTGTATTTTTTTTCTTTTTATGTATTGAAATATGATGTTTGAGATTTGTAAATTTTTATTTTCGTAATTCCATTGCTAAGGGACTAATAATGATTTAAGTTGGGGGGTGTGGTAAGTCTTAATTATCATGAGTTAATAATTAGTAAATAATATAGTTTTAGCCTTAATTCATGATAAATAGACTTATATTTATGTTAAAGTGTGAAAGGTTGTTTTCAATTGATTAACGTGAATTTTTGGGTAATTATGTGGCTTTATACGATTTTACATGATTTTTATAGTTTTACTTTTGAGATAAATGAAGAAAAAGAAATTAAAATAAAAATAAGACAAAATGGGGGGACCCGCTGGCCAATTGGGCCTACAAGTAGATCGGAAGTGCAATCGGGGAGTAGCTGTGAGTAGGGGCTCGAGTGGCTTGGACCGATTGGACACATGTGCGCCACCCCCCTTCCATGTCACTAGTGGCCAATCAACTGTGGGACAAGGAGTGGTCATACACATGCAAGAAAGGGACTTGATCAGAAATGTAGTATTACTATATATTCACTAAAAATTTCAGCACACAATTGATGTGGGACTTTTTAACCCACGTCACACCTCCCCAGAAAGGGCGAGGATGCAACCGGTGCAGGTTCAAATCCTCCCAAAGCCAAAATTCATATTTTATTTATTTGATTATCGTGACTTTCCTACAGATCGTTGGTGAAGAATTAAGCAACTAGAATCACTGAATCATTGATGAAAATCTTGTCAACACGATTCATGGAGCATTGTTACTAAAATTGCTAAACGATTCGCGATAAAAGCATCACAAATCCATCGAGTAACTCATCTCTGATTGATCGACGAACAAGCTATCATTGGGAAGAGGACAATCTGTCGGGAGACGAGTCACCACCTCTTGAGAGCATACTAGATGCAATGAAGAGCCTCCTCTCGCTGCACAGATCTGAGGATGAAGCTTCTTGACACACACCTCACCTGCATCCAGCTCCTCTTTGTCGGGTGACAGCCACTAGAGAGCTGCAAAGTTGTCATTTTTCCGTTCCACTAGGGGTGACAGCCGCCAGAGAGGATTCAACAACCCATTCATTGATCTTTAGACTTTGCAAGGAGATCTAGAGATTGCTCACGTTGTCTTTGTCCAAGGAGAGCCTTCAAGGCCATGGACACTGCACGACAATCCTCCCGAATGCTCAAGATTCTGGTGCATCGCCGACGCATCACCGCCTTGACGTCGGAATTTTATTTTCCTACTTTCAACTTAATTTTCATTCCATTTAGTGATAATTTGTTGATTTTAAATTTACAAAGATATACTTCATTTCATTACGATTCTTCTGACTTTTGTAAGAATCACTAGGTGGAACTCTATTTTCACCCGATTTGCATTCGCCAAGTGCTAGCATCATCCTGATGTCTACACCCGTATTTCCTTTTTTTGTAAATTTTAAATATATTTCATTTTCATTTACTAGTATAAAATTCATAGAAAATAGTATTCTTTGAGGACAATTTTGAATAATTGCCAGATACTATATTACATCCCTCTGATTGACCTAGAAAATTACCATTATTTTTGAAATTTTTATTGAATTATAATTGATATATTTATTCAGAAATATTTCTAAATATCTGAAAATTCATATTTTCTAGTTTTATAAATTTTACATTTGCATGATTTACAATACAACGACTAAGTCACATCAATAATCAATGTATCCCTTTCTAACATGTGTATGGCCACTCTTTGTCGCATGCCTAATTGGTCATTGGTGATGTGGAAGGGGAGTGACACACATGTGTCCCCCTATCAGTTTATCTTTAGCCGCTCAAGCCCTTACTCATGATTCCACCTGTCAATGCTTCCAACCTATTTATGGGCTCGACTAGGTGGCATGTTTTCTCTTTCTTCTATCTTTTTATTTTATTTCTCTTTATTTAACTCAAAAATAAGATTATAAAAATTATATAAATTCACATAAAATCCCATAATTAGCAAAATTAACTAACTAAAAACTATTTTTCATAATTTGACGTAAGTATAAGTCTAAATATCATGAGTTAGGATTAAAACTATATAATTAATTAATTATTAACTCATGATAATGAAGACTTATCAACCATCTTCACTAAAGTATGTATTTTTTGATTAACATCAAACTTATCCAATGATTATATCATCGTATTTGTCTAAGGATCAAGAGAATAGATTACTTGATGTACTTAGGACATAAAGAGAGGTGATTGGCTGGTCCCTAGCAGATATTTGAGGACTTTATCTATTTGTGTGTATGCACATATTTTATTGTGAGCAGAACTATCATTTCTTTTTATGCATTTCCTTACTAGCTTTTGTTTCGGACATATTTTATTGGTCGAGTGCTTTAGTTAGAACTATTCAGGGGCAACAGTGTAGTAGATGGGGCATAAAAACCAGAATTTTCTTTGCTTTTCCCTCCTCTCACATGCATTAAGGACAATGCAAGACTTAAGTGGGGGAGGTTATCTCTTCCTTCATTTGCATGCATTAAAGATAATGCATCATTCAAGTAGGGGGGAGAACAAAAAAATTCAAAAATGTTATGAATATTTTAAAACTTTTACTGCATTGATTATTTGCACAAACCCATATGCTTAAACGAACAAAGCCTAATGCTCCTTTAAAAGGGTAAGTCAATTAGAAAAGTTTACCTTCTCTAGATTAGGGGTGTGGATCTCATGAAAAAAAGATAGGTGAATTCCTTACCATGATCATTCTTCTTTGAAGTATGAAGGAGTTTTAGGTTGTATTCATGGGTATGTGGTGCGACAATAAATGGCTAATGATAGTATATTGTGGATGAAAATGATTGAACTAGATCATCTTAGTCTAGTTATTATGTTGTGGTTGATAAGTCTTCATTATCTGTATTTACCTTTTATTTATCAATATTTAGTGCATAAAATTAACAGAAATAATACATGTTACATTTAATTCATATGCATTCAGATCATTCATACATAAACATGTATTTTAATATTTTTAAAATTATTTTAAGATAATTAATTTTAAATAATTATGCATGAAATATTTTTATGTGAGTTTTAGGATTTTCTAAATTTTATCCTGGATTTTTTGAAATTTTCTAGAATTTCTCATAATTTCTAAGAGGTTTTGATATAAAGGTCTAAAATAAAAGAAAATCAGAATGAGTTGGGCTGGGCCGAGCCAAGTGACCCAATGGGCCGGAATATTCAGAGGCTAAAAGTTAAACCATCAACAGGTCGACAGTGGAAGCAGAACCGACGAGTTGGCATGACACTTAAGCAGATGTGGGACACGTGGCCCACACGGGTTCGACGACATTTCAACGGACATCGTGAACAGAAATTGGCACAATTTACGTCAGACCTCAAAGAGAAATGTAATTGGAGATCCGTACCTAATGGCAGAACGTGAAAGAAGAGCGGGTGATAGAGTAAGGCTGTCATTGATCTCTCTTTCTTTCGCGCCTTTTCTCGCTCCCTTTGTCTGTCTGCTCTCTCTCACTCTATCTTGCTCTCGCTTTCTTTCTGTGGATGCGTCCTCGCTCTACGAAGCACGGCGGAGTTCGGACAGCCTGCCGCCTTCTCCTCTCCTCTCCGTCGAGTTCTTCTGGAACCCTTTCTCGTGCGCGAATCCGGAGGAAGAGTGGGAGGCCGCATCCGGCGGAGGAGTCCACCGCCGAAGACGCCGAGGTCACGGTCGGCGCCGCCTCACGGAGAGGTCGTACGTTCCCAGGCTTCTGCTTCCCTGAAAGGCCGCTCCGGGTATGTTCTAGTGCCGTCTTTCGACGAATTCTCGCCTTTCGTTGATTCGGGGGTTATGTTCTAGTGCCGTCTTTCGATGGGTTCGTGATTTTCTGTGTCGGGGGCATCTTCTTGTGGACTCTTTGGATGGGATCTTTATTTTCTTTGATTTGGACTTTCGGTTGCCTGCGGTGGTGCGGGTGGTGCGAGATTGCTGAAGAAAGCTCTGGCTTTCCTCCTTCCTCTTATTTATTTACCTTCTTCCGATTTGTTTTGCCGCTTCGTTGCTGATTCGATTTGATGTTTGGTCTGGGTAGGGGGATCTATCTTCTTCTTTAGACTTCCATCCGATTGCTCTTTGGGGACGGATGAGTGTTACCGTCTGGAGGAGAAAAGATTATTTCAGCAAGGTTTATCGATTGACGGTGACGGGTGAGCGTGTTGAATCAAGGGGCACATTCGATTTTCGGATCGCTGAGCGATCGACCAGTTTCTGGAGAAGAACCCGGTGATTTCCGGCAGGAAACAACACCCTCCGTACCTGCAGCTCTCCCGAGCGTTATTCCCCACCCAGAAAAACCATCAGAACTTGGTGGCGGGCTGTCCTGTTGAGAAAGCAGCTGGAATCGAGGGAGGAAGTGTGGACGAGGTTGTCGGGCTACAGGAGGAAGCGAGGATGTCTCCCATCCCGGATCGGGTACATGCTTCGACGTCCCTCATTCCTTTCCTTGACGGCGACTGTAGAGAGCTTTCTCTCTCCATCCCAAAGCACATCACATCTTGACAATAGGAATGTCCTATCCAAAATCGACAGGTGCAGGTCGGAAATTCTCCATTATACAAGGTAGAGAGAATGTTGGGTGCAGGAGGTTTTGGGCTGGTCTACATTGGACGAAGGGTGGCTGGTGGATCTCAGGGCGATGGGCCCAATGCCTTTAAGGTTTAGTTTCAACCTCCCATCACTCCTGCCAAGGGAATCTTTAAATACTGCTGTTTTATGTTGTCTCTTTCATTTTCCTGCGGTGGGTGTAGGTAGCACTGAAGTTTGAGCATAGAAATAGCACGGGTTGCAGATTTGGCCCCCCATATGAATGGCAAGTTTATGAGTAAGAAGACACCCCCTACTGCTCTAATTTATTACGTATTGTGTCGATCTAAAACTACGTTCTTCATCTGACTTTGTGAATATGGTTTTAGCCATCTCAAGGGATGCTATGGATTGCCTAGGGTGCACTACAAGGGCCGCCAAGGAGATTATTTCGTCATGGTTGGCGTAGAGTCTTTCATTTTATTGTTTCCTCGAATTATGTTTTTTATTGAAAGCTAATTATGATATTGTTGATGATGATTGCTGCAGATCATGGACATCCTTGGACCAAGTCTCCTGGATGTGTTCATATCCATTGGGCAAGTGTAAGAAAATAATCTTGACTTCATATTCAAAGTCAATATTCTGTTGAGAATTGTGCTATTGAGTTTGACTAACTCCTTGGACAGAATGCCACCAAATATGGTGGCTTGTATTGCTGTGGAGGCAATATCCATCCTTGAGAAGCTACACCAAAAAGGGTACGTATGGCTTTGTGGCAGTGTGATATTTTTTCAATTAAATTTTTGCAAAGGTCACAGTAATCAATTCATTGCTCCCTTGTGCACTCCCCTCCCTCCCTCCACCCACACAAAAAAAAAAACATGCCAGGTTTGTGCATGGAGACGTCAAGCCAGAGAATTTATTGTTGGGTAAACCCGGAAGCTCAGGGGAGAAGAAGCTTTTTCTCATCGACTTTGGGCTGGGTATGTTGCTGCATTCCAATCACTTCTTGTTTTCACCTTTCGCACCTATTGATTTTAGAGTAGGGTTTGTTTTTCCAAGTATATAAACAAATTCGTCTTGACTGAGAAGTCCCTGTCTGTATCAACATCAGTGATATTTTTGTGCTTTGTTCAGAGCCTGTACAAATGCTAATTGGTGTCATTAATATTTTAATCAGCTTCAATGTGGAGGGACAGTTTGTCAGGCCAGCATGTCAGCTTATGCCAACAGCCAGATAATTTCAGGTTTTTTGGGAAACGATATTCTATTTTTTCCCTAAATTCTTAGCTAAGAGGAGGATTCATAAAATCTTACCCCTACCTTACTATCTATCTCATGTTCCCTAGGGGCACAACACGATATGCAAGCGTCCATGCACATTTAGGCCTCACAGCGAGTAGAAGAGATGATCTTGAGTCATTGGCCTACACTCTGATTTTTTTGATTAAAGGAAGGCTGCCGTGGGAAGGCTATCAGGTTTGCTTTCACCTCTACTTGTACATGTTCTCCCATCTCTTTGATTGATCACTTGCTGATTCTTATGCCAACTATGTAGGGGAATGACAAGAGGTTTCTAGTCTTCATGAACAAGACTGTAACCTCCCCCGAGACGCTGTGTGGTGGCTGTCCCCCTCCTTTTGCACAATTCCTTGAAGCAGTGAAGAAGATACAATTTGTTGAGCAGCCCACCTACTCGAAGCTCATTTCTCTTTTTGGAAGCTTGATATGCCCCCCCTGCACCCTGTTAAAGACCATTCGGATTGATGCAATTTTGAAGGTGGTTGCAAACATGACATCACTGAAATTACCTCACATATTTTTATTTTATGTCAGATGGTTTTATCTCTTTTTCATGGCTCTATCATCTGTTGTTAAATAGGCTGACCATGTTTCCAACAGGTTCACCAAAAACGTGGAAGATTGCAGGTAAATAATGAAGAAGATGAGTGTCATAGAAAGAAACGGATAAAATGTTTGATTGATGACAGACCATGACCATGTACATGTAAGAATATAAATAAAATCTGTAAAGTGCCAATTGAGAAAACATAAATCTCATGACTAAATTATTTATTATTATTGTTATTATTTATTCATAAAGAAAACGATAGTTTAAAAGCCTCATATTAAGGGCATGAATATAATACTTTTTTAATGTAATCATAGCTATTGATAAAGGTGTGTAATTAATATTTATGCAAAAACAGAAACTATATCAATCAATGATAATAATACAAGACAATCATTTAGAGGGCGTGAGTATAAGTAGATATTTATATCATAGTTACTCTTGCTAGGAATATGTATCATTTATTGCCAACATTTAAACTTTAGAAATGTTTTGTACCTACTATCTATTCACCTTGGAAATGGCACCACTTTGGACGTAACCTATTGAGTACAGGAATATAATATGTTTAAGTACATTCACACTTACAAATTATCAGAAATAATTATTAGACCGATAAATGTAAATTTTATGCATAAATAATGAATATTACTTTTTTATAAGAAAGCTGGCACATAAAAATACAGTATTAAAGGGAAGAAATCTAATATTATTTCATACAATCATAATGATTAGTTGCAATGAATAATTACTATAGTTTACCAAAATGAAAATTTTATCAGTAAATAAATGAACACTACAAGTATTGGATTAAATGGCACAAATTTGATAGTTTAGGTTATATTTATAATTACTAATCACTATGATTAAATATTATTTATTAGAATATGTAAAGTTATGAAGAAATAAGAATTATGTATTGGAAGCTTATGTGTCCACCAAAGGACACACATCCACCCCATAATGTGTTTAGAACCACATGTAGTCCAAAACTAAAAGTAATGTAATGTCGTAATTGGTTCCCATCATAGTATAAGTATGATTTCTTTAGTGATGATCTAAAAATTAAGAAGCATCTAGATTCATAGAAGATTGGGTAGATAAAGAGGAGTTTGAAATAAAAGTCACATAGCTATGCTTTGTAATGTTTTCAATTTGAAAAGCATATCTTGACAAAGTTAAATCTTATATGATTCACATGGGTGAATGTCATCGTATATACTTTTTATACATTGCACCCTCTAGATGTTTTCCTAAACTTGAAGCAAAATGTACCCATCGTCAAATCTTGATTCATTCCATTGATGAGTGGAAAATAAATTTCTTGTCTAAAGTAGGACTTTTAGTATAAGTAGGAAAGTTAATGTATTAACAAGTGTGCCGACCATCACATTTATGAGGATGATGAATTAATCATGGAAACTATTTATTGAAAAAAATTATTATCTATTTTGACTGTAGTCTAATGTAAAATTGTAATTAAGAGTTACATAATTCTATATGCGACCCCTATTAAATGTTTTTGAGCCAAATCTATATTGTATATAAATTTGTATATAGTTTTACACATATAAAATGAGATTTTTGCCTTTTTAAGAATACATGTACAATATTTTCAAGTAAATTGATAATATTTTCAAGTACAATATTTTTACCTTTATTATTTTTTAATATAATGTCTTTTTTTGTCATAATAGGAAACCACTGATAAGTTTTCATTATCATGACTTATTAATTAGTAAATAATATATTTTTAACCTTAACTCATGATAAATAGACTTATATTTCTATTAAATTATGAAAAATAGTTTTCAATTGATTAATGTGATTTTTTTAGCTAATTAGATAAGTTTTTTATGTATTTATATGATTTTTATAATCCTATTTTTTGAGATAAATCAAGAAAAAGAAATTAAAATAAAAATATAGCAAAAAGAGGGGACCTATCAGCCAACTAGGCCTGCAAGTAGATCAGAAGGGTAGTCAGGGGGAGCCGTGAGCAAGGGCTTGGGTGACTAGGACCAATGGAGCCATGTGTGCGCCACTCCCTTTCCACGTCACCGGTGGCCAGCCAAGACTGAGGCAAAGAATGGTTGTACATGTGAGAGAAATATACTCATTACTTGTTGACGTGACTCAATCATTGTATATTAAATCACGCAAATCTAAAATTTATAAAACTAGAAAATATGAACTTTTAGATATTTAGAAGTATTTCTAAATAAATATATCAATTATAATTCAATAAAACTTTCATAAATAGCAATAATTTTACAGGTCAATATTTTCAAGTAAATTGATAATATTTTCAAGTACAATATTTTTACCTTTATTATTTTTTAATATAATGCCTTTTTTTGTCATAATAGAAAACCACTGATAAGTTTTCATTATCATGAGTTAATAATTAGTAAATAACTCATGATAAATAGACTTATATTTTTTAAAAATTATGAAAAATAGTTTTCAATTGATTAATGTAATTTTTTTAGCTAATTAGATAATTTTTTATGCATTTATATGATTTTTATAATCCTATTTTTTGAGATAAATCAAGAAAAAGAAATTAAAATAAAAATATAGCAAAAAGAGGGGACCCGTCAACCAACCAGGCCTGTAAGTAGATTAGAAGTGTAGTCGGGGGGAGCCACGAGCAAGGGCTTGGGTGACTAGGACCAATGGAGGCATGTGTGCACCACTCCCCTTCCACGTCGCTGGTGGCCAGCCAAGTCTTATGTAAGGAGTGGTTGTACATGTGAGAGAAAAGTACTCATTACTTGTAAATGTGATATTACTATATATTTGCTTAAAACATTGGCGCACAAGTGATGTGGGACTAAACCCACATCACACCTTTCCTTGAAAGGCTTTGACGATTTTAATACCTAAATTACTCCTTAATTATAATAGAGATATACTATGAGGACGTCACTTGATAAGGGCATTAGAGTACTTATTTCAATCTCTCTTATATAGGTGGACAATCAGCACGGGTTTGAATCCTCCTAGAGCCCAATGAAAGATTATCTCGACTTTCCTATAGATCACCAGTGAAGGATTAAGCCATTAAAATTGTTAGGTCATTGACAAAAATCTTGTCAACACAATTCACAAAGCATTATTACTAAAATTGCTGAAAACGATTCGCGATAAAAGGATCATGAATCTATTGAGTAAATCATCTCTGATTGATCGATGAACAAGCTGTCGTCGAGAAGAGGACAATCTGTCGTGAGATGAGTCATCACCTCCTGAGAGCATACTAGACGCGATGAAAAATCTCCTCTTACTGCACAGACCTGAGGATGAAGCTCCTTAACATGCGTCCCACCTCCATCTAGCTCTTCTCCATCAGGTGACAGCCACTAGAGAGTCACAAAGTCTTCATTTTTTTGCTCTGCTAAGTGACGGTTGTCGGAGATAATTTGATGATCCATTTCATTGATCTCTAAACTTTGCATAGATATCTAGAGATTGCCCACATCGTCCTTGTTCAAGGAGAGCCTTTGAGGCTCTGGACACTACACGACAATCTTCCCGAATACTCAAAATTCTCGTGCATCATCGACACATTATTACCGTGACATTGGAATTTTATTTTTCTACTTTCAACTTAACTTTTACTTCATTTAGTGATACTTTGTGTGATTTAAATTTACCAAGCTATATTTGATTCAATTACGATTTTTCTACCTTTTACAGGTCTTAATTTGATTAATTAGATCATTTGTAATCGCTTACACAAGAATCACTAGGCAGAACTTTGTTCCTGTTTGATTTGCGTTTGTCAGGCACTAACGTCATCCTAACATCCGCACCCTTATTTCCTTTTTTCACGAATTGAAGTATATTTTATTTTTATTTCTCAGTATAAAATTCATAAAAAAATTATATTCTTTGAGAAAAATACTAAAAAGTTACCCAATATTATATTACATCTCTGTGATCGACTTAAAAAATTACCACTATTTTTGTAAACTTAATTGAATTATAATTAATATATTTGTTTATAAATACTTCTAAATATCTAAAAATTAGTATTTTCTAGTTTTATAATTTTTAAATTTACGTGATTTATAATACAACAACTAAGTCACGTCAAATGGTTTTTCACCTTCCTATGGAGATCAAACATAAGGCTTATTAAGTTATAAAGAATCTTAATCTTTCTTTAGACGCCATAGGTAAGCACCATATGTTGCAATTGCAAGAGCTTCAAGAACTACCCAATGAGATGTACGAGAAGTCTCTAATTTACAAAGTAAAAATGAAGGCTTTTTATAACAAGAAGGAGAGCAGAAAGAGTTTTCATGAGCATCAAAAAGTTTGGCTTTACAATTCTCGATTGAAACTATTCCTCGAGAAATTAAAATCTAGATGGGATGGACCATACCTTGTGATTAAAGTTTTTGACTATGGTGCAGTATTAATTGCAGATCTGAAAACTAGTAAAAATTTTAATGTGAATGGGCAAAGATTAAAACCTTATTTAGAAAATGAACCCTCCTTCTCTACCCATTTCCACTCAATTATATGATCCATCCATTGAACCTCAATCTTCTTAGAACTTTCTCTCCATCATGTACTCTAAGATGGCATAGCTTTCTTTTCCACTACATTCCATTTTTATTATTTTTCTCTATCCTTTGATATTTTTCTTGAGTTTTTATTAAGTGAACAGATCAAGCATTCTAGAGGAATTGCATATCATGACACAGATTAATACAAAAGAAAATCAGAAGGATGAAGAGTGAAAATCAGTTTGCACATTTAATGCTTTCTCCTTTTTCTCTTATATAGATATATTGAGGACAATGCGAATGGTCATTTGGGGGGGAAGAATAAATGCATGAGGGTGAATACATGAGATTACATCAGGTGCTATAGTGCTTATAACTAAATCATGAAGTTCATCATCTTTCATGGTGCATATAACCCACACTCTTAAATTGAGAAAATCTACTTTGGTCTTCTGCCGGATTTATGTTATGAATTCTTATTATTAACTATGAGTAGTAAATTGAATCTTTCTCTTTCTTGATCAATACTCAGTCAAAAAAATTTCAAATTATTTGATGCTTTTACAAATCATTAATCATCATTAAACTTGAGACAAAAGAATAAAACATGGTAAAGATTACACTAGAAAAAATAAAATAAAATTGTAGTAGCACCTTAGCTGATTTCGTGGGGCTTCCACATGTGAAATTAGGATCAACAAGGCTTACAAAATACTTCTTGTAACGATTCTTCTAGCTTTTACAGATCTTAATTTGGCTAACAAAATTGTCTATAATCGCTTATGTAAAAATCACCAGGTAGTTTTCTATTTCTACTTGGTTTGCATTCATTAGGTGCTAACATCATCTTGACATCTACACCTTTATTTTCTTTTTTCACAAATTTTAAATATATTTTATTTTCTTTTTTTAGTTTAAAATTCATAAAAAATTGTATTCTTTGAGAACATTTATGAAATATTACTTGATATTATATTAGATTCCTATGATTGGCCTAGAAAATTTTCACTATTTTTAGACCTTTGATTAAAATATAATTAATATAATTATTCAAAAATACTTCTAAATATCTAAAAATTAGTATTTTCTAGTTTTATAAATTTAAAATTTGTGTGGTTTACTAAACAAGGGATATTTTAGGTATTAAAATTATTAAAACTTTTTGGAGGCTATGACCCTTGGTTTAGTCCCACATTGGTTATATGCTGAGTTTTGAGGTTGATATATAGTAATACTAGACTTGATAATTGATAAGTCTTCATTATCATGAGTTAATAATTAGTAAATAATATGGTTTTAGTCTTAACTCATGATAAATAGACTTATATTTGTGTTAAAGTGTGAAAAGTTATTTTTAGTTGATTAACATGAATTGTTAGGTAATTATGTGATTTTATATAATTTTATATGATTTTTATAGTCTTACTTTTGAGATAAATAAAGAAAAAGAAATTAAAATAAAAATAAGACAAAATGGGGGAACCTTCTAGGCCCGCAAGTAAGTCAGAAGTGCAGTTGGGGAGTAGCCATCAGTAGGGGTTCGAGTGGCTTGGACCAATTGGGCACATGTGCGCCACCCCCCTTTCATGTCACCGGTGGCCAGCCGACTGTGAGGCAAGGAGTGGTCATACACGTGTGAGAAAAGGACTTGATCGAAAATATAGTATTACTATATATTCACAAGAAATTTTAGCACACAATTGATGTGGGACTTTTTTAACCCCCGTCACACCTCCCTAGAAAGGGCGAGGGGGCAATCAGTGCAAGTTTGAATCCTCCCAGTGCCAAAATTCATATTTTGTTTATTTGTTTATCGTGACTTTCCTACAGATCACCGATGAAGGATTAAGCAACCAAAATCACTAGATCATTGGCAAAAATCTCATCAATGCAATTCGTAGAGTATTGTTACTAAAATTGTTGAACGATTCACGATAATAAGATCGTGAATCTATCGAGTAACTCATCTTTGATTGATCGACGAACAAGCTATTATCAGGAAGAGGACGATCTGTTGGGAGACAAGTCACCACCTCCTAAGAGCATACCAAATGCGATGAAGAGTCTCCTCTTGTTGTGCGGATCTAAGGATGAAGCTTCTTGACATGCGCCCCACCTCCATCCAGCTCCTCTCTGTCGAGTGACAACCACTAGAGAGTCGCAAAGTTGCTGTTTTTTTGCTCCGTCAGGTGGCAGCCACCAGAGACGATTCGACAAGCCATTTTATTGATCTCTAGACTTTGCAAGGAGATCTAGAGATTGCCCACATCGTCTTTGTCCAAGGAGAACCTTCAAGGCCATGGACACTACACAAAGATCTTCTAGAATGCTCAAGATTCTAGTGCATCACTGACGCATCACCGTTGTGATGTCGAAACTCTGTTTTCCTACTTTCAACTTAATTTTCCTTTCAGTTAGTGATAATTTATTGATTTTAAATTTACAAAGATATACTTCATTTCATTACGATTCTTCCAGCTTTTCTAGATCTTAACTTGATCAATTAAATTGTCTGTAATCGCTTATGTAAAGAATCACCGAGCAGAACTTTATTTTCGCTCGATTTGCATTCCTCAAGCGCTGATATCATCTTGACGTCTACACCCCTATTTCTTTTTTTTGTGAATTTTAAATATATTTTCTTTTCATTTACTAGTATAAAATTTATAGAAAATAGTATTCTTTGAGGTCAATTTTGAATAATTACCAGATATTATATTACATCCCTTTGATCGACCTAGAAAATTACACTATTTTAGGAAGTTTTATTAAATTATACTTGATATATTTATTCAAAAATACTTCTAAATATCTGAAAATTCGTATTTTCTAGTTTTATAAATTTTAAATTTACGTGATTTACAATACGATGACTAAGTCACGTCAAATTTTGACACCATTGCTAGGGATGTATTGCATAATATTTAGTATTTTTCTATTTTTCTCTTAGAGTACACAAAAAAATTTAACTCTTATTTTATTTTCTTTTTGCTAATTTTTTTTAAAAAAAAGGGAACGAAGAGAAACAAAGCAAGGACCAGAGCATACTAAAGGAGGGTAACAATTACTAAACTTTTCCCTTGAATTTATTGATTTTTTTATGCATGGTAGAAGATCCTTGCATCCAAGACTAGAAAATCCTTCTATTATTTCATTCAAAAATAAAAATCGAAAAGAAAAATTAATTTTGATAGATCCTAAAGGAAGTACATGTCAAATTGAGAACAATCCTATGGTCATGAAAAATCATTATATCCTTGATTCATTTCAAAGAGCATCAAATATTAGAGTCCCATTAGCACCCACTTTTAAATTCGAAATAAATCTAGGAATTTTTCAAATACTCCCTAATTTTCATGGATTGCCTTTAGAGAAACCTCATCAGCACTTAGAAAAATTTCATATGGTCTGTGATTTAGTTAATCTCCCTCAAGTTACACCATAAATTATTAAGATGAATAGGCTTTTCTTCAAAAAATTTATTCCTTAAGAAAAACTCAAAATATGAGAAAACATATATGGAGTTTTCCTCAAAGATCAGGAGAAACTTTACATGAAACATGGGAAACATTCAAAGATTTACTTAGAAAGTGTCCTCATCATGCTATACCCAAGTGGCAGCTCAATAGAATTTTTTATGATGGATTATTAGAATAATATAGAAATATGGTTGATTCTATATGTGTAAGAGCTTTTATGAAGAAAACCCCTAATGAGATTTACAGTCTTTATGAGAATTTAAGTGAAAATTCGAGAGATCAAGCCTTTTTTGAGGAATATGTAGGATCAATATTATTCTTGAATGAGTATTGATAATTGAAACATCTTGTAAATATATCTATGAGTGAAGAAGTGATAAAGATGTGAATAGAAGAAGTGAAGTCTAGATTGTTATTCCAAAGAGTGTTTAAACATTTAAGTGCTTGACATCATTCTTAAATACTTGATATAAGAATCCAAAGTATTTAAAGGTGCATCATTTCTAATTATATACTTTTTTTTTCCTATATTGAAATATGATATTTGAGATTTGTAAAATTTTATTTTCGTAATTCCATTGCTAAGGGACTAGCAATGATTTAAGTTGGGGGTGTGATAAGTCTTCATTATTATGAGTTAATAATTAGTAAATAATATAGATTTAGCCTTAACTCATGATAAATAGACTTATATTTGTGTTAAAGTGTGAAAAGAGGTTTTCAATTGATTAACGTGAATTTTTGGGTAATTATGTGATTTTATATAATTTTTACAGTCTTACTTTTGAGATAAATGAAGAACAAGAAATAAAAATAAAAATATTACAAAATGGTGGGACCCGCTGGCCAGTTGGGCCCACAAGCAGGTTAGAAGCACAGTCAGGGAGTAGCCGCGAGCAAGGGATCGAACGACTTGAACCAATGGGGGCATGTGTGTGCCACTCCCCTTTCACATCACTAGTGGCCAGCCGGCTGTGGGGCAAGGAGTGGTTGTACACGCGAGAGAAGGGACTTTGCTTAGAAAGCTAACATTACTATATATTCGCTTAAAAAATTAGCACACAGCTGATGTGGGACTAAACCCGCGTCACACCTTCCTCAGAAGAGGCGGGCGACTGACATAGGTTCGAGTTCTTCTAGAGTCAAAAGTCATATATTTTTATCTAATTATTGTGACTTTTCTGCAGATCGCTGGTGAAGGATTAAGTAACGAGAATCACTAGATCATCGGCAAAAATCTCATCAATGCGACTCGCAGAGCATTGCTACTAAAATTGCTGAAGGATTCGCGATAAAAGGATTGCGAATCCATCAAGTAAATCATCCCCGATTAATCAACAAACAAGCCGTCGTCAAGAAGAGGACAATCCGTCGAGAGACAAGTCGCCACCTCCTGAGAGTGTACCAGATGCGATGAAGAGCCTCCTCTTGCTGCACGGACCTAAGGATGAAGCTCTGTGACACATGCCCCACCTCCATTCAGCTCCTCTCCGTCGAGTGACACCCGCCGGAGAGCTGTAAAGTTACCATTTTTCCACTCCGCCGAGTGACAGCCACTAGAGACGACTCAATGACCCATTTCATTAATCTCTAGACTTCACGAGAAAATCTAGAGATTGCCCACGTTGTCTTTGTCCAAGGAGAGCCTTCGAGGCTATAGACACTGTATGACGATCCTCCCAAACACTCAGGATTCCGGTGCATCACCGACACATCGCTGTCGCGACGCCAGAACTCTGTTTTCTTGCTTTCAATTTACTTTATGCTTCATTTAGTGATAATTTTTGTGTTTTTAAGTTATCAAAATATACTTTGTTCAATTATGATTCTTTGAGCTTTTACAGATCTTAATTTGATTAATTAAATCGTCTATAATCGCTTACGTAAGAATCATCAGGTGGAACTCTATTTTTGCCTAATTCATGTTCGTCGGGTGCTGACATCATCCCGACATCGACACCCTTATTTCCCTTTTTTTTGTGAATTTTAAATATATTTTCTTTTCATTTCCTAGTATAAAATTCATAGAAAATCATATTCATTGAGAAAAATTCTAAATAATTACGAGATATTATATTACATCCTTGTGATCGACATGGAAAATTATCGTTATTTAGGAAGTTTTATTGAATTATAATTGATATATTTATTCAGAAATACTTCTAAATATTCGAAAATTTGTATTTTCTAGTTTTATAAATTTTATATTTGCATGATTTAATATACAACGACTAAGTCACATCACCTCCCCTCTACTTGAGTCTTGCATTGTCCTTAATGCATGTGAGAGAAGGGAAAAGAGAAGAAAATTCTGATTTTTATGCCCCATCTACTACACTATTGTCCTTGAATAGTTCTAACTAAAGCACTCGACCAATAAAATATGTCCGAAACAAAAGCTAGTAAGGAAATGCATAAAAAGAAATGATAGTTCTCCTCACGATAAAATATGTGCATACACACAAATAGATCAAGTTCTCAAATATCTGCTAGAGACCAACCAATCACCTCTCTCTATGTCCTAAGTACATCAAGTAATCTATTCTCTTGATCCTTAGACAAATACGATGATATAATCATTGGATAAGTTTGATGTTAATCAAAAAATACATGCTTTAGTGAAGATGGTTGATAAGTCTTCATTATCATGAGTTAATAATTAATTAATAATATAGTTTTAATCTAAACTCATGATAAATAGACTTATATTTACGTCAAATTATGAAAAATAGTTTTTAGTTAGTTAATTTTGCTAATTATGGGATTTTATGTGAATTTATATAATTTTTATAATCTTATTTTTGAGTTAAATAAAGAGAAATAAAATAAAAAGATAGAAGAAAGAGAAAACATGCCACCTAGTCGAGCCCATAAATAGGTTGGAAGCATTGACAGGCGGAATCGTGAGTAAGGGCATGAGCGACTAAAGATGGACTAATAAGGGGCACATGTGCATCACTCGCCTTCCACATCATCAATGGCTAGTCGGGCATGTGATAAAGAGTAGCCGTACACATGTGAGAAAGGGACACATTTATTATCAAGTGTAGTATTACTATATATCAACCTCAGAACTCGACATATAATCAATGTGGGACTAAACCTGGGGTCACAGCCTTCGAAAAGTTTTAATAATTTTAATATCCCTTATTTAGTAAACCATAGAAATTTAAAATTTATAAAACTAGAAAACACTAATTTTTAGATATTTAAAAGTATTTTTGAATAATTATATCAATTATAGTTTAATGAAAGGTCTAAAAATAGTAGAAATTTTCTAGGTGAATCACATGGATGTAATATAATGTCAGGTAATATTTCAGAAATGTTCTCAAAGAATACGATTTTTTATGAATTTTAAATTAAAAAAGAAAAGAAAATATATTTCAAATTTCTGAAAAAGGGAAATAAATGTGTAGATGTCAAAATGATGTCAGCACCTAATGAATGCAAACCAGGCAGAAATAGAGTTCTACCTAGTGATTTTTAGATAAGTGATTATAGATGATTTAATTAGTCAAATTAAGATCTGTAAAAGCTAGAAGAATCGTTACAATAAGTATTTAACAAGCCTTGTTGATCCTAATTTTGCATGTGGAAGCCCCACGAAATCAGCTAAGGTGCTACTACGATTTTTATTTTATTTTCTCTAAAGTAATCTTTACCATGTTCTATCCTTTTGTCTCAAGTTTAATCATGATTAATGATTTGTAAAAGCATCAATTAATTTGAAAACTTTTTGACTGACTACTAATCAAGAAAGAGAAAGATTCAATTTACTACTCATAGTTAATAATAAGAATTCATAACATAAATCCAGCAAAAGATCAAACTAGATTTTCTCAATTTAAGAGTGGGTTATATGCACCATGAAAGATGATGAACTTCATCATTTAGTTATAAGCATTATAGCACCTGATGTAATCTCATGTATTCACCCTCATGCATTTATTCTTCCCCCCCAAACAACCATTCGCATTGTCCTCAATGCATCTATTTAAGAGAAAAAGGAGAAAGCATTAAATGTGCAAACTGATTTTCACTCTTCATCCTTCTGATTTTCTTTTGTATTAATCTATGTCATGATATGCACTTCTTCTAGAACGCTAGATCTGTTTGCTTAATAAAAACTCCAGAAAAATATCAAAGGATAGAGAAAAATAATAAAAAAGGAATGTAGTGGAAAAGAAAGCTATGCCATCTTAGAGTACATGATGGAGGGGAAGTTCTAAGAAGATTGAGGTTCAATGGATGGATCATATAATTGAGTGGAAATGGGTAAAGAAGGAGGGTTCATTTTCTAAATAAGGTTTTAATCTTTGCCCATTCACATTAAAAATTTTACCAATTTTCAGATCTGTAATTAATACTGCACCACAGTCAAAAACTTTAATCACAAGGTATGGTCCATCCCATCTAGATTTTAATTTCTCGAGGAATAGTTTCAATCTAGAATTGTAAAGCCAAACTTTTTGATGCTCATGAAAACTCTTTTTGCTAACCTTCTTGTGATAAAAAGCCATCATTTTTGCTTTGTAAATCACAGAATTCTCGTACATCTCATTGGGTAGTTCTTGAAGCTCTTGCAACTGCAACATATGGTGCTTACCTATGGCGTCTAAAGAGAGATTAAGATTCTTTATAACCTAATAGGCTATGTTCGATCTCCATAGGAAGTTGACAAACCTTTTGACATGACTTAGTTGTTGTATTGTAAATCACGTAAATTTTAAAAAATAAAAAATAAAAAATAAAAATCACGTAAATTTAAAAATTATAAAACTAGAAAATATTAATTTTTAGATATTTAGAAGTATTTCTAAACAAATATATCAATTATAATTCAATCAAATTTACAAAATTAGTGGTAATTTTCCAAGTCGATCATAGAGATGTAATATAATATTGGGTAACTTTTTAATATTTTTCTCAAAGAATATAATTTTTTTATGAGAAATGAAAATAAAATATACTTAAATTTGTGAAAAAAGAAAATAAGGGTATGGATGTTAGGATGATGTCAGCGCCTGACGAATGTGAATCAAATAGAAATAGAGTTTTGTCTAGCAAATTTTGTGTAAGCAATTACAGACGATCTAATTGATCAAATTAAGATCTGTAAAAGGTGGAAGAATCGTAATTGAATCAAATATAGTTTAGTAAATTTAAATCACACAAATTGTCACTAAATGAATTAGAAATTAAGTTGAAAGTAGAAAAATAAAGTTCTAACATCACGGCAACAATGTGTCGATGATGTACGAGAAGTTTGAGCAGTCAAGAAGATTGTTGTGTAGTGTCTACGGCCTCAAAGGCTCTTTTTCGACAAGGACGACGTGGGCAATCTCTAGATATCCTTGTGAAATCTAAAGATCAATAAAATAGGTCGTCAAATTATCTCCGACAGCTGTCACTCAGTGAAATGAAAAAATGATGACTTTGTGACTCTCTAGCAGTTGTCACCCGACGTAGAAGAGTTAGATGGAGGTGGGGCGTGTGTTAAAGAGCTTCCTCCTCATGTCTATGTAGCAAGAGGAGGCACTTCATCGCATCTAGTATGCTCACAGGAGGTGGCAACTCGTCTCTTGATAGATTGTCCTCTTCTCGATGACAACTTGTTCATCGATCAATCGAAGATGATTTACTCGATGGATTCATGATCCTTTTATCGTGAATTGTTTTTTAGCAATTTTAGTAACAATGCTTTGCGAATTGCGTTGAATTTTTTTTACCAATGATCTAATAATTTTAGTGGCTTAATCCTTCACTAGTGATCTATAAGAAAGTCGAGATAATCTTTCATTGGGCTTTAGGAAGATTCGAACCCGTGCTGATTGCCCGCCTACATGAGAGAGATTAAAATAAATACTCTAATACCCTTATCAAGTGACATCGTCATAGTATATCTCTATTATAACTAAGGAGTAATTTAGGTCTTAAAACCTTCAAAGTCTTTCAAGGGAAGGTGTGATGTGGGTTTAGTCCCACATTGCTTGTGTGCCAAAGTTTTAGGCGAATATATAGTAATATCACATTTACAAGTGATAAGTCTTCACTATCATGAGTTAATAATTAGTAAATAATATAGTTTTAACCTTAACTCATAATAAATAGACTTATATTTGCGTTAAATTATGAAAAGTGGTTTTCAGTTAATTAATGTGAATTTTTAGGTAATTATGTGATTTTACATGAAATTATATGATTTTTACAATCTTACTTTTGAGATAAATGATGAAAAATAAATAAATAAATAAAAATAAGACAAAATGAGGGGGATCTACCAGCCAACTGGGCCTGCAAGCGGGTCGGAAGCATAGTCGGGGAGTAGTCGCAAGCAAGGGCTTGAGCGGCTTGGATAGATAGGGGCACGTGTGTGCCACTCCCCTTCCACATCACCGGTGGCCAATCGGCTATGGGGTAAGGAGTGGTCGTACATGTGAGAGAAGAGACTTTGCTTAGAAATCTAACATTACTATATATTCGCCCGAAAATTCAGTGCACAATCGATGTGGGACTAAACCCGTGTCACACCTTCCTCAGAAGGGGGGCGGGCAACCAGCGCGGGTTCGAATCCTCCTAGAGCCAAAACTCGTATTTTTTTAATCTGATTATCACGACTTTCTTGTAGATCGCTGGTGAAGGATTCAGCAACCAGAATCGCTAGATCATTAGTGAAAATCTCATCAACATTTGCGGAGTATTGTTACCAAAACTATTGAACGATTCACGATAAAAAGATTGCAAATCTATCAAGTAAAGTATCTCTGATTGATTAACGAACAAGCCGTCGTTGGGAAGAGGACGATCTGTTGGGAGACGAGTGGCCACTTCTTGAGAGCATACCAGATGCGATGAAAAGCCTCCTCTTGCTATGCAGACCTGAGGATGAAGCTCCCTGACATGTGCCCCACCTCCATCTAGCTCCTCTCTGTCGAGTGATAGTCACTAGAGAGCCACAAAGTTGTTATTTTTCTACTTCACCGGGTGACACCTGTCGGAGACGATTCGACAACCTACTTCATTGATCTCTAGACTTCACAAGGAGATTTAGAGATTGCCCACATTGTCTTTGTCCAAGGAGAGCTTTCGAGGGTGTGGACATTACACGACGATCCTCCCCAATGCTCAAGATTCCAGTGTATCGTCGATGCATCGTTGTCGTGACGTCGGAACTTTGTTTTCTTACTTTCAACTTACTTTACGCTTCATTAAAAATTAGTGATAATTTTTGCTATTTTAATTTACCAAAATATACTTCATTCTATTATGATTCTTTTGGCTTTTACAGATCTTAATTTGATTAATTAAATCATCTATAATCACTTACATAAGAATTTTTGGGCGGAATTCTATTTCTGCCCGATTCGCATTCGCAGGGCGCTGATGTCATCTTGACATCCGCACCCTTATTTCCTTTTTTGTGAATTTTAAATATATTTTCTTTTTATTTCTTAGTATAAAATTTATAGAAAATCATATTCATTGAGAAAAATTATGAATACATACCAGATATTATATTATATCTCTGTGCCTGACCTGTAAAATTATTGCTATTTATGAAAGTTTTATTGAATTATAATTGATATATTTATTTAGAAATACTTCTAAATATCTAAAAGTTCATATTTTCTAGTTTTATAAATTTTAGATTTGCGTGATTTAATATACAATGATTGAGTCACGTCAACAAGTAATGAGTATATTTCTCTCACATGTACAACCACTCTTTGCCTCAGTCTTGGCTGGCCACCGGTGACGTGGAAAGGGAGTGGCGCACACATGGCTCCATTGGTCCTAGTCACCCAAGCCCTTGCTCACGGCTCCCCCTGACTACCCTTCTGATCTACTTGCAGGCCTAGTTGGCTGATAGGTCCCCTCTTTTTGCTATATTTTTATTTTAATTTCTTTTTCTTGATTTATCTCAAAAAATAGGATTATAAAAATCATATAAATACATAAAAAACTTATCTAATTAGCTAAAAAAATCACATTAATCAATTGAAAACTATTTTTCATAATTTAATAGAAATATAAGTCTATTTATCATGAGTTAAGGTTAAAAATATATTATTTACTAATTAATAAGTCATGATAATGAAAACTTATCAGTGGTTTCCTATTATGACAAAAAAAGACATTATATTAAAAAATAATAAAGGTAAAAATATTGTACTTGAAAATATTATCAATTTACTTGAAAATATTGTACATGTATTCTTAAAAAGGCAAAAATCTCATTTTATATGTGTAAAACTATATACAAATTTATATACAATATAGATTTGGCTCAAAAACATTTAATAGGGGTCGCATATAGAATTATGTAACTCTTAATTAAAATTTTACATTAGACTACAGTCAAAATAGATAATAATTTTTTTCAATAAATAGTTTCCATGATTAATTCATCATCCTCATAAATGTGATGGTCGGCACACTTGTTAATACATTAACTTTCCTACTTATACTAAAAGTCCTACTTTAGACAAGAAATTTATTTTCCACTCATCAATGGAATGAATCAAGATTTGACGATGGGTACATTTTGCTTCAAGTTTAGGAAAACATCTAGAGGGTGCAATGTATAAAAAGTATATACGATGACATTCACCCATGTGAATCATATAAGATTTAACTTTGTCAAGATATGCTTTTCAAATTGAAAACATTACAAAGCATAGCTATGTGACTTTTATTTCAAACTCCTCTTTATCTACCCAATCTTCTATGAATCTAGATGCTTCTTAATTTTTAGATCATCACTAAAGAAATCATACTTATACTATGATGGGAACCAATTACGACATTACATTACTTTTAGTTTTGGACTACATGTGGTTCTAAACACATTATGGGGTGGATGTGTGTCCTTTGGTGGACACATAAGCTTCCAATACATAATTCTTATTTCTTCATAACTTTACATATTCTAATAAATAATATTTAATCATAGTGATTAGTAATTATAAATATAACCTAAACTATCAAATTCGTGCCATTTAATCCAATACTTGTAGTGTTCATTTATTTACTGATAAAATTTTCATTTTGGTAAACTATAGTAATTATTCATTGCAACTAATCATTATGATTGTATGAAATAATATTAGATTTCTTCCCTTTAATACTGTATTTTTATGTGCCAGCTTTCTTATAAAAAAGTAATATTCATTATTTATGCATAAAATTTACATTTATCGGTCTAATAATTATTTCTGATAATTTGTAAGTGTGAACGTACTTAAACATATTATATTCCTGTACTCAATAGGTTACGTCCAAAGTGGTGCCATTTCCAAGGTGAATAGATAGTAGGTACAAAACATTTCTAAAGTTTAAATGTTGGCAATAAATGATACATATTCCTAGCAAGAGTAACTATGATATAAATATCTACTTATACTCACGCCCTCTAAATGATTGTCTTGTATTATTATCATTGATTGATATAGTTTCTGTTTTTGCATAAATATTAATTACACACCTTTATCAATAGCTATGATTACATTAAAAAAGTATTATATTCATGCCCTTAATATGAGGCTTTTAAACTATCGTTTTCTTTATGAATAAATAATAACAATAATAATAAATAATTTAGTCATGAGATTTATGTTTTCTCAATTGGCACTTTACAGATTTTATTTATATTCTTACATGTACATGGTCATGGTCTGTCATCAATCAAACATTTTATCCGTTTCTTTCTATGACACTCATCTTCTTCATTATTTACCTGCAATCTTCCACGTTTTTGGTGAACCTGTTGGAAACATGGTCAGCCTATTTAACAACAGATGATAGAGCCATGAAAAAGAGATAAAACCATCTGACATAAAATAAAAATATGTGAGGTAATTTCAGTGATGTCATGTTTGCAACCACCTTCAAAATTGCATCAATCCGAATGGTCTTTAACAGGGTGCAGGGGGGGCATATCAAGCTTCCAAAAAGAGAAATGAGCTTCGAGTAGGTGGGCTGCTCAACAAATTGTATCTTCTTCACTGCTTCAAGGAATTGTGCAAAAGGAGGGGGACAGCCACCACACAGCGTCTCGGGGGAGGTTACAGTCTTGTTCATGAAGACTAGAAACCTCTTGTCATTCCCCTACATAGTTGGCATAAGAATCAGCAAGTGATCAATCAAAGAGATGGGAGAACATGTACAAGTAGAGGTGAAAGCAAACCTGATAGCCTTCCCACGGCAGCCTTCCTTTAATCAAAAAAATCAGAGTGTAGGCCAATGACTCAAGATCATCTCTTCTACTCGCTGTGAGGCCTAAATGTGCATGGACGCTTGCATATCGTGTTGTGCCCCTAGGGAACATGAGATAGATAGTAAGGTAGGGGTAAGATTTTATGAATCCTCCTCTTAGCTAAGAATTTAGGGAAAAAATAGAATATCGTTTCCCAAAAAACCTGAAATTATCTGGCTGTTGGCATAAGCTGACATGCTGGCCTGACAAACTGTCCCTCCACATTGAAGCTGATTAAAATATTAATGACACCAATTAGCATTTGTACAGGCTCTGAACAAAGCACAAAAATATCACTGATGTTGATACAGACAGGGACTTCTCAGTCAAGACGAATTTGTTTATATACTTGGAAAAACAAACCCTACTCTAAAATCAATAGGTGCGAAAGGTGAAAACAAGAAGTGATTGGAATGCAGCAACATACCCAGCCCAAAGTCGATGAGAAAAAGCTTCTTCTCCCCTGAGCTTCCGGGTTTACCCAACAATAAATTCTCTGGCTTGACGTCTCCATGCACAAACCTGGCATGTTTTTTTTTTTGTGTGGGTGGAGGGAGGGAGGGGAGTGCACAAGGGAGCAATGAATTGATTACTGTGACCTTTGCAAAAATTTAATTGAAAAAATATCACACTGCCACAAAGCCATACGTACCCTTTTTGGTGTAGCTTCTCAAGGATGGATATTGCCTCCACAGCAATACAAGCCACCATATTTGGTGGCATTCTGTCCAAGGAGTTAGTCAAACTCAATAGCACAATTCTCAACAGAATATTGACTTTGAATATGAAGTCAAGATTATTTTCTTACACTTGCCCAATGGATATGAACACATCCAGGAGACTTGGTCCAAGGATGTCCATGATCTGCAGCAATCATCATCAACAATATCATAATTAGCTTTCAATAAAAAACATCATTCGAGGAAACAATAAAATGAAAGACTCTACGCCAACCATGACGAAATAATCTCCTTGGCGGCCCTTGTAGTGCACCCTAGGCAATCCATAGCATCCCTTGAGATGGCTAAAACCATATTCACAAAGTCAGATGAAGAACGTAGTTTTAGATCGACACAATACGTAATAAATTAGAGCAGTAGGGGGTGTCTTCTTACTCATAAACTTGCCATTCATATGGGGGGCCAAATCTGCAACCCGTGCTATTTCTATGCTCAAACTTCAGTGCTACCTACACCCACCGCAGGAAAATGAAAGAGACAACATAAAACAGCAGTATTTAAAGATTCCCTTGGCAGGAGTGATGGGAGGTTGAAACTAAACCTTAAAGGCATTGGGCCCATTGCCCTGAGATCCACCAGCCACCCTTCGTCCAATGTAGACCAGCCCAAAACCTCCTGCACCCAACATTCTCTCTACCTTGTATAATGGAGAATTTCCGACCTGCACCTGTCGATTTTGGATAGGACATTCCTATTGTCAAGATGTGATGTGCTTTGGGATGGAGAGAGAAAGCTCTCTACAGTCGCCGTCAAGGAAAGGAATGAGGGACGTCGAAGCATGTACCCGATCCGGGATGGGAGACATCCTCGCTTCCTCCTGTAGCCCGACAACCTCGTCCACACTTCCTCCCTCGATTCCAGCTGCTTTCTCAACAGGACAGCCCGCCACCAAGTTCTGATGGTTTTTCTGGGTGGGGAATAACGCTCGGGAGAGCTGCAGGTACGGAGGGTGTTGTTTCCTGCCGGAAATCACCGGGTTCTTCTCCAGAAACTGGTCGATCGCTCAGCGATCCGAAAATCGAATGTGCCCCTTGATTCAACACGCTCACCCGTCACCGTCAATCGATAAACCTTGCTGAAATAATCTTTTCTCCTCCAGACGGTAACACTCATCCGTCCCCAAAGAGCAATCGGATGGAAGTCTAAAGAAGAAGATAGATCCCCCTACCCAGACCAAACATCAAATCGAATCAGCAACGAAGCGGCAAAACAAATCGGAAGAAGGTAAATAAATAAGAGGAAGGAGGAAAGCCAGAGCTTTCTTCAGCAATCTCGCACCACCCGCACCACCGCAGGCAACCGAAAGTCCAAATCAAAGAAAATAAAGATCCCATCCAAAGAGTCCACAAGAAGATGCCCCCGACACAGAAAATCACGAACCCATCGAAAGACGGCACTAGAACATAACCCCCGAATCAACGAAAGGCGAGAATTCGTCGAAAGACGGCACTAGAACATACCCGGAGCGGCCTTTCAGGGAAGCAGAAGCCTGGGAACGTACGACCTCTCCGTGAGGCGGCGCCGACCGTGACCTCGGCGTCTTCGGCGGTGGACTCCTCCGCCGGATGCGGCCTCCCACTCTTCCTCCGGATTCGCGCACGAGAAAGGGTTCCAGAAGAACTCGACGGAGAGGAGAGGAGAAGGCGGCAGGCTGTCCGAACTCCGCCGTGCTTCGTAGAGCGAGGACGCATCCACAGAAAGAAAGCGAGAGCAAGATAGAGTGAGAGAGAGCAGACAGACAAAGGGAGCGAGAAAAGGCGCGAAAGAAAGAGAGATCAATGACAGCCTTACTCTATCACCCGCTCTTCTTTCACGTTCTGCCATTAGGTACGGATCTCCAATTACATTTCTCTTTGAGGTCTGACGTAAATTGTGCCAATTTCTGTTCACGATGTCCGTTGAAATGTCGTCGAACCCGTGTGGGCCACGTGTCCCACATCTGCTTAAGTGTCATGCCAACTCGTCGGTTCTGCTTCCACTGTCGACCTGTTGATGGTTTAACTTTTAGCCTCTGAATATTCCGGCCCATTGGGTCACTTGGCTCGGCCCAGCCCAACTCATTCTGATTTTCTTTTATTTTAGACCTTTATATCAAAACCTCTTAGAAATTATGAGAAATTCTAGAAAATTTCAAAAAATCCAGGATAAAATTTAGAAAATCCTAAAACTCATAAAAATATTTCATGCATAATTATTTAAATTAATTATCTTAAAATAATTTTAAAAATATTAAAATACATGTTTATGTATGAATGATCTGAATGCATACGAATTAAATGTAACATGTATTATTTCTGTTAATTTTATGCACTAAATATTGATAAATATAAGGTAAATACAGATAATGAAGACTTATCAACCACAACATAATAACTAGACTAAGATGATCTAGTTCAATCGTTTTCATCCACAATATACTATCATTAGCCATTTATTGTCGCACCACATACCCATGAATACAACCTAAAACTCCTTCATACTTCAAAGAATAATGATCATGGTAAAGAATTCACCTATCTTTTTTTCATGAGATCCACACCCCTAATCTAGAGAAGGTAAACGTTTCTAATTGACTTACCCTTTTAAAGGAGCATTAGGCTTTGTTCGTTTAATCATACGTGTTTGTGCAAATAATCAATGCAGCAAAAGTTTTAAAATATTCAGAACATTTTTGAATTTTTTTGTTCTCCCCCCTACTTGAATGATGCATTATCTCTAATGCATGCAAAAGTCTTTAATGCATGTGAGAGAAGGGAAAAGGGAAGAAAATTCTGGTTTTTATGCCCCATCTACTACACTATTGCCCTTGAATGGTTCTCTAACTAAAGCACTCGACCAATAAAATATGTCCTAAACAAAAGCTAGTAAGGAAATGATAGTTCTCCTCATGATAAAATATGTGCATACACACAAATAGATCAAGTCCTCAAATATTTGCTAGAGACCAACCAATCACCTCTCTCTATGTCCTAAGTACATCAAGTAATCTATTCTCTTGATCCTTAGACAAATACGATGATATAATCATTGGATAAGTTTGATGTTAATCAAAAAATATATACTTTAATGAAGATATTGATAAGTTTTCATTATCATGAGTTAATAATTAATTAATAATATAGTTTTAATCTAAACTCTTGATAAATAGACTTATATTTATGTCAAATTATAAAAAATAGTTTTTAATTGATTAATTTGGCTAATTATGAAAGCTTATGTGAATTTATATAATTTTAATAATCTTATTTTTGAGATAAATAAAGAGAAATAAAATTAAAAGATAGAAGAAAGAGAAAACTTGCCACCTAGTCAAGCCCACAAACAGGTTGGAAGTATAGATAGGCGGAACCGTGAGTAAGGGCTTGAGCGGCTAAAGACTAACTGATAGGGGGACACATGTGCGTCACTTCCCTTCCACATCATCAATGGCCAGTCGGGCATGTGACAAAGAGTGGCCGTACACATGTGAGAAAGGGATACATTGATTATTGACGTGACTTAGTTGTTGTATTGTAAATCACACAAATTTTAAATTTATAAAACTAGAAAATATGAATTTTTGGATATTTAGAAATATTTCTGAATAAATATATCAATTATAATTCAATAAAACTTTCAAAAATAGCAGTAATTTTCTAGGTCGATTAGAGGGATGTAATATAATATCTAGTAATTTTTTAGAATTGTCCTCAATGAATATTATTTTCTAAGAATTTGATACTAGTAAATGAAAAATAAATATATTTAAAATTCACAAAAAAAAGAAATAAGGGTTCGGATATTAGGATGATGTCAGCACCTCGCGAATGCAAATCTGGCAGAAATAGAGTTCTGCCCAATGATTCTTACGTAAATGATTATAGACGATTCAATTGATTAAATTAAGATTTGGAAAATCTAAAAGAATTATAATGAAATGAAGTATATCTTGGTAAATTTAAAATCAACAAGTTATCACTAAATGAAACAAAAATTAAGTTGAAAGTAGGAAAATAGAGTTCCAACATCGCAACGGTGATGCGTCGGTAATGTACCAGAATCTTGAGCGCCTACAACCTTGAAGGCTCTCCTTGGACAAAGACAACATAGACAATCTCTAGATCTCTTTGCGAAGTCTAGAGATCAATGAAATGGGTCATCAAATCATCTCCGGTGGCTGTCACCTAATGGAGAGGAGCTGGATGGAGGTGGGGCGCGTGTCAAGAAGCTTCATCCTCAGGTCTGCATCACAAGAGGAGGCTCTACATCGCATCTGGTATGCTCTCAAAAAGTGGGGACTCATCTCCTAGCGGATCGTCTTCTTCTCGACGACAGCTTGTTTGTCGATCAATCGGAGATTAGTTACTCGATGGATTTGCAATTCTTTTATCACAAATCATTCAATAATTTTAGTAACAATACTCTGTGAATTGCATTTGACGAGATTTTTGTCGATGATCTAGCGATTCTAGTTGCTTAATCCTTCACCGATGGTTTACAGGAAAGTCACAATAATCAGATAAACAAAATATGAATTTTCACTTTCGAACCTATGCCAATTGCCCCCATGCCCTTTCTGGGAGGTGTGACGCAGGTTAAAGAAGTCTCACATCGGTTGTGCGCCAAAATTTCTGATGAATATATAGTAATACTACATTTTTGATGAAGTATTTTTCTTGCATGTGTACGACCACTCCTTGCCCCACAACCGGCTGGCCACTAGTGACGTGGAAGGGGGGTGGTGCACACGTGCCCAATCGGTCCAAGCCACTTGAGCCTCTGCTCGCGGCTACTCCCCAACTGCACTTCTGACCCGCTTGCAGGCTTGGCTGGCCGGTGGGTTCCCCATTTGTCTTATTTTTATTTTAATTTCTTTTTCTTCATTTATCTCAAAAGTAAGACTATAAAAATTATATAAAATCATATAAAATCACATAATTACCTAAAAATTCACATTAATTAATTGAAAACTACTTTTCACACTTTAACACAAATATAAGTTATTTATCATGAGTTAAGGTGAAAACTATATTATTTACTAATTATTAACTCATAATAATGAAGACTTATCACACCTCCAACTTAAATCATTGCTAGTCTCTTTGCAATAGAATTACGAATTCGTTTTTTACAAATCTCAAACATCATATTTCAATACATAAAAATAAAAAAAAATACAATCAGAAATGATGCACCTTTAGACACTTTGGATTCTTATATCAAGTATTTAAGAATGATGTCAAGCACTTAAATATTTAAGCACTCCTTAGAATAACAATCTAGACTTCACTTCTTCTATTCACATCTCTATCATTTCTTCACTCATAGATATATTTACAAGATGTTTTAATTGTCAATACTCATCTAAGAATATATATTGATAAATATAAGGTAAATACAGATAATGAAGACTTATCAACCACAACATAATAACTAGACTAAGATGATCTAGTTCAATCGTTTTCATCCACAATATACTATCATTAGCCGTTTATTGTCACACCACATACCCATGAATACAATCTAAAACTCCTTCATACTTCAAAGAATAATGATCATGGTAAAGAATTCACCTATCTTTTTTTCATGAGATCCACACCCCTAATCTAGAGAAGGTAAACTTTTCTAATTGACTTACCCTTTTAAAGGAGCATTAGGCTTTGTTCGTTTAATCATACGTGTTTGTGCAAATAATCAATGCAGCAAAAGTTTTAAAATATTCAGAACATTTTTGAATTTTTTTGTTCTCCCCCCTACTTGAATGATGCATTATCTCTAATGCATGCAAATGAAGGAAGAGATAACCTCCTCCCTACTTAAGTCTTGCATTGTCCTTAATGCATGTGAGAGAAGGGAAAAGGGAAGAAAATTCTGGTTTTTATGCCCCATCTACTACACTGTTGCCCTTGAATGGTTCTCTAACTAAAGCACTCGACCAATAAAATATGTCCTAAACAAAAGCTAGTAAGGAAATGATAGTTCTCCTCATGATAAAATATGTGCATACACACAAATAGATCAAGTCCTCAAATATTTGCTAGAGACCAACCAATCACCTCTCTCTATGTCCTAAGTACATCAAGTAATCTATTCTCTTGATCCTTAGACAAATATGATGATATAATCATTGGATAAGTTTGATGTTAATCAAAAAATATATACTTTAATGAAGATATTGATAAGTTTTCATTATCATGAGTTAATAATTAATTAATAATATAGTTTTAATCTAAACTCTTGATAAATAGACTTATATTTATGTCAAATTATAAAAAATAGTTTTTAATTGATTAATTTGGCTAATTATGAAAGCTTATGTGAATTTATATAATTTTTATAATCTTATTTTTGAGTTAAATAAAGAGAAATAAAATAAAAAGATAGAAGAAAGAGAAAACATGCCACCTAGTCGAGCCCATAAATAGGTTGGAAGCATTGACAGGCGGAATCATGAGTAAGGGCTTGAGCGGCTAAAGATAAACTGATAGGGGGACACATGTGCGTCACTCCCCTTCCACATCACCAATGACCAATTAGGCATGCGACAAAGAGTGGCCATACACATGTTAGAAAGGGATACATTGATTATTGATGTGACTTAGTCGTTGTATTGTAAATCATGCAAATTTAAAATTTATAAAACTAGAAAATATGAATTTTCAGATATTTAGAAATATTTCTGAATAAATATATCAATTATAATTCAATAAAAATTTCAAAAATAATGGTAATTTTCTAGGTCAATCAGAGGGATGTAATATAGTATCTGGCAATTATTCAAAATTGTCCTCAAAGAATACTATTTTCTATGAATTTTATACTAGTAAATGAAAATGAAATATATTTAAAATTTACAAAAAAAAGAAATACGGGTGTAGACATCAGGATGATGCTAGCACTTGGCGAATGCAAATCGGGTGAAAATAGAGTTCCACCTAGTGATTCTTACAAAAGTCAGAAGAATCGTAATGAAATGAAGTATATCTTTGTAAATTTAAAATCAACAAATTATCACTAAATGGAACGAAAATTAAGTTGAAAGTAGGAAAATAAAATTCCGACGTCAAGGCGGTGATGCGTCGGCGATGCACTAGAATCTTGAGCATTCGGGAGGATTGTCGTGCAGTGTCCATGGCCTTGAAGGCTCTCCTTGGACAAAGACAATGTGAGCAATCTCTAGATCTCCTTGCAAAGTCTAAAGATCAATGAATGGGTTGTTGAATCCTCTCTGGCGACTGTCACCCCTAGTGGAACGGAAAAATGACAACTTTGCGGCTCTCTAGTGGCTGTCACCCGACAAAGAAGAGCTGGATGCAGGTGAGGTGTGTGTCAAGAAGCTTCATCCTCAGATCTGTGCAGCAAGAAGAGGCTCTTCATTGCATCTAGTATGCTCTCAAGAGGTGGTGACTCGTCTCCCAACAGATTGTCTTCTTCCCAATGACAGCTTGTTCGTCGATCAATTAGAGATGAGTTACTCGATGGATTTGCAATGCTTTTATCGCGAATCGTTTAGCAATTTTAGTAACAATGCTCCACGAATCGTGTTGACAAGATTTTCATCAATGATTCAGTGATTCTAGTTGCTTAGTTCTTCACCAACGATCTGTAGGAAAGTCACGATAATCAAATAAATAAAATATGAATTTTGGCTTTGGGAGGATTTGAACCTGCACCGGTTGCATCCTCGCCCTTTCTGGGGAGGTGTGACGTGGGTTAAAAAGTCCCACATCAATTGTGTGCTGAAATTTCTAGTGAATATATAGTAATACTACATTTCTGATCAAGTCCCTTTCTCGCATGTGTACGACCACTCCTTGTCCCACAGTCGATTGGCCACTAGTGACATGGAAGGGGGGTGGCGTACATGTGTCCAATTGGTCCAAGCCACTCGAGCCCCTACTCACAGCTACTCCCCGATTGCACTTCCGATCTACTTGTAGGCCCAATTGGCCAGTGGGTCCCCCCATTTTGTCTTATTTTTATTTTAATTTCTTTTTCTTCATTTATCTCAAAAGTAAAACTATAAAAATTATGTAAAATCGTATAAAGCCACATAATTACCCAAAAATTCACGTTAATCAATTGAAAACAACTTTTCACACTTTAACATAAATATAAGTCTATTTATCATGAATTAAGGCTAAAACTATATTATTTACTAATTATTAACTCATGATAATTAAGACTTACCACACCCCCCAACTTAAATCATTGCTAGTCCCTTAGCAATGGAATTACGAAAATAAAAATTTACAAATCTCAAACATCATATTTCAATACATAAAAAGAAAAAAAATACAATCAGAAATGATGCACCTTTAGACACTTTAGATTCTTATATCAAGTATTTAAGAATGATGTCAAGCACTTAAATGTTTAAGCATTTCTTCGAATAGCAATCTAGACTTCACTTCTTCTATTCACATCTTTATCACTTCTTCACT